GGCTCATTCTACAGAACATTTAAATCTCTATTGTATTTGTGTAGGATATAATTTCTGATAGCAATAAAGCCTAATAAAAGTTACACCCCGATGAATAAAGTGTTAATAAATTGACCCAAGACATTTAAATGGCTAATTATATTTGAGATAAAGGAGGATTCGCTTGTTTCTATAGATTGTTTGAAGCTGTACTCTAACCAGCTAACTAACCAACTACAAGATGATTTTATAAAAATATCTCCAGTATAAAATATTAATATTTCCAGCTCCTTTTTCAATAGATTAATAATTAATCAGAATTTCTTAACACATTTCCTATTCATCAAAAGAATCATACCTCTCTTTAAAATGTCCAAGCTTTGCACAACTTTTAACTAATCCCTAGATTTTATTTTATTTAAAAATATTTACACCAACTCCATTTAGCTTTTCCATAGGCCCTTTCAATGACAAAAACAGGTGCTTTATTACGAAATAATAGTATTACATTACAATACAAATAATAGTATTATAAAATGTATGTAAAAACAGAGACCAAACAAGCACACTGACCAGGTCAGGGTATTCATACAGGATAATTATCACAATGGGCCTCCCAAGATCCTGGGCCTAAGTCAAAGAAGCTGTCATCCTTTAACGCTGAATTCCTTGGTGGCACTGACTGCTTAAAGCATTTCGCAAACTAAACCATAGAGTTCTGGAAATCTTTGGTGGTTTGCTTCTCCAAAACACATCATAGTTGATGGTTAAAATTTTAACAGGCCCCTGACATTAATGGAGTTACCCAGCAACAGCACCATTTTTGGGGATGCTGAGCAATAGTTCTAGATGCTGGAGAAACAGTGATTTGTGTGGAAAGAATGAAAGCAGAGGTACAAGGGGGAGAGAAAAAATGATAAAGAATCCATGTCTTAAAAAAAAAAAAAAAAAAGGAATTATTAAAATGTACATGTTAATTATGTTAATTATTTTTATGTAAGTTGAGGGAATTTTACTTGGGAGAGTGAAATGAATTGTGGTTTTCCCCACTGAAAATTGAAAACTGCCAGCCTTTGCTCTGTCATCTACTAATGCTACTGCTAATATGTACCTAGCCTTTTCACTCCACTGAGGGGGACGGGTGTGCAAGAACCAGAAGTCCCTATGAGACGGGAATTTTCATTTCTGAGCATCTCAGTTTTATTTTGTGTAGGGCTTAGGTCTGAAATCTACCACTACTAATCAGATCACCTAACAAAGGAGAGAAGAGGACAAATCTCCCTCCAGCAGCTTTCTTCTCTAGGTTCACTAAGGGTGTCTGTTTAGCCAGTCGACCCATACGTGACACAGCTCAGTTTGCATACAGACAGAATCCCTCCTCGGCTAGATCATCTTCAGATGACTATAAGATACTATAATTAGGACCATACTGGAGACATTAAAAGTTGCAAAATGCAGCTGCTTAGTTTGTCTCTTAATACCTATTTAAACTAAACAAATGCAACACGCTAAGGAAAATTATGTTCCTTGAGAAACTACACCAAACTTAGTCATCTATTCTGGAAAACTGGGATGAAACCCTTGCTAATGGCAACCTGTTCACCTGCATCTGCTTTGAGAGCTATATAATGACTGGGTGAGAGAAACAACTTTAGTTAACAACTTCACTACCTACTTCAAAATGTGATGTATATTAGAAAGAACTTCAGAACAAAGACACTTTTCTTTACAATTAGTTCCCATATTTTAAGAGCTTGGTATAAAGTGTTTGAGGCTTTATAAAGAAAGAAAATGGGACCTTGAGTAAGGTAATTTTAATAGGAGATTTGTGCAACTTGAAAATACTAGTCACCTCTTCATATCTCTATTCTTATGTAGTCCAGTTCTTCTGCTACTTTCCTCAACTGCTGAAAAATTAGAACCATTTCTTCCATGAAATACTAAGCTTTGGGTGACTAGAATCCTACTGCCCCCTGAAAAAAAAACTTCAGAAACTTGTCTTTCTGGTCTCAGAATGCCAGTTAGCTCTCTCTCTCTTTTTTTTTTTTTTTTTTTTTTTTGCGTTGATAATGTGTTCTTCAATAGCATCAACAAGTAACAGCTTTCATGTTGGTAAAAAAAAAAAAAAGAGTGGATTATACTTTTTTTTTTTTTTTAATTTGCATAGCTCTAAATGATCTACAATGGAAAAGCTGATACGTGTAACACAAAGTAGCAAGTCTTAAAATGATGCAAATCTAGATTCTGTTTCTATGAATCTAGTATACATGGAAATGGAAGATGTACAGGACTGTGATGACTCCTGATACTATTCAGCAGCCATCAAAATGAGTAAGAAGAAAGTCACAGGGCAGTTGTATCCTAATTTCTCCCAAAGTATCTTTGGTTTTATTTCCCATCATGCTTATCTTCTAGCAAAAGCTACACAATTATCAAGCGTTCTGTATCTAGAACATTATCAAGCTTGAAGATTTTTTCTAATTGGTCCCAGGTCAATGGAGAATTTACAAACAAATGTTCCACTGCCATCATGGGACATCATGATACTGCTGAAATCTTCTTTTATTCACTTTTGGCAATCTTATTTTTATAGTAAGATGTCCAACACTGATGGAGGAAAAATTCCTGGTTTTAAAAAGATTACTCTTTCCTGCCTGTGCCTTCAGAGATTTTGTGTGTTTACAGACAGCCTGCATATATACATGCATGTACTTTTTACAGATGTGGTTTTAGCATACCATGAATACTGTGGCCATGACTATGCCCTATGCCATTTGATCTGTTTTGTCAAAGCAACTGTTCAAACCACAACCATTTCCTGAAGTACCTACCAAGCTTTCCTCCAGAGAGCTTAGTTTTCCTGAGCACTAACCCAGCTAACACTAAAAGCAGGGTGGACGGTTTTTTTTCTTCCTTTTCTTCCTGTTACTCAAGCTCAAACTAATAATGCTCAGCCCAGAGGGATGGAGAAGCAGCAATCTTGATGGGTTCCATCTTCTCCCCTTTCTCATTTTGATTCCTTAACCCCTAGGATTTAACCATCTTAAAGTTGAAAGGCAGTTCAAGGCACCTTGAAGAACATAAAAAATACACAAATCGCATATCCAGAAACCTTATAGTTAAGGCTTTATACTGCGTGTGACATCAACTACTAGACATCAAATGAAATTACAATATCTGAGTCAAGTCTTAAAAAATAACAACATGGACTCCTTACAGAGCTGGTAAATTCTGTAGATGTATTGCAGTCGTCTTTGTGATTCTGTTATATTAATGTTCTACACACACTATTAGACAGAATACCATCTGTCTGTGTACTGCATTTTCTAATATGGTGAAAAAAATCAACCTATGTCCTTTAGTGGAAGCATTCATACATTGAAGGAAGTGACATGAAGTGACAAGAGATAAACTCACTAAGACTCAAATAGGGCGCTTACCTAAGGAAAATGCTTTCTTCATCGAAAACCTGTCAACAACCCTAAATTATTAACCTCGTCAGATTCTGTTAGTAGACACATACATCTCTTATTAGTGTTGAGAATGAAAAATAGCTGATCATGTTTACCATAAAAATCTGCATATTTTTAAAAGGTAAACACATAAATCACAGGTGGCTAAAGTTTCATTTGTTACATTGTACTTGTAAAGAAATGTAGAAGCAAGGAAAAAAAACTTCACAAAAAGCATAAAGCACTCACATCCTAAGTCAATTTACCAGCTACTTATTGCATTGTCTTGAGTTGCTTGCTCATATGTTTCACATATCAGGCACAGTAAAGGCAAACTATAGTTACTGCAACTGAAACAAGACCAACTTTCCTATATTTTCAGCAATTCAATGCAAGAAGTCTCTACACTGAAGAGTAAATGCATATCTTGCTAAGGAAATCACAGAGTGTGAAATATACAAATGATATTGCTGTTGTTAAATGAAATTTGAAATGTCAATAGCTGCAAAACCAGTATTTATTTTTTTTCCCTCCTTTGATGTTTTTTCAAAATTCTGTACTAAAATCCCGAAAGCCTAGGGGTGTTTGTTCTTATTCAAAATAGCTTCACTCTCATCAATGCGCTACCTTAATTCTTTGCATGTTCAACTTCCTTCTTAAAAGATATCTGTATTGTGTGGTTTTGAAACAGATTACCAAGCATGTGTTAGACCTGAAATGCAGCACAGAGCCCATCAAGTTAGCTCCCAGGAACATCCTGTCTGCTGGGAATCGCCTTGGCAAGCAGAAGCGGAGTTCCATGCAAGAATCAGCAGGGATGTCTCAAGTTCTTCAGTGCTCAACAAAAATAGGTTTCACCATGATGCCATTACTCTACTTCCGTATATACATGTATACACCCTTGTAAGTCTGGCTCCAGACCTCAGTACAGCCATCTGTTTTATGGGTGTATTCTTTAAGTAAAGAATTTTGGGAAGGTCACCAAGAGGGTTTGAGATTTTCTGATTTCACAAATAACTACCTTCTACAATGAGAGCAGACAAATCTTTCCACTCTCCCTCAGGGCATGCAGACATGAAAACTGCACTGTGCAGAGTACCCTGAAGTACCCAGATCCTCTGGGGAGCTGGACATCTTTTGCACCTTTTAGGAATTCTCTCTAAATTCTCCAGCAATATTAAACCATTTGACTTACAAACTGCATTACAGTCATTCAATAATATCCAGGTTCACCCCACGTACATTTTAATAATCCCCATTATCTCAGAGGAACCTCTGTAAGCAAGCAGAATAGGCATTACCATAGGTTGTTTTAAATATAGTGTGCTTTCCTTAAGCACTAGCATAGTTCCCACAGGTTACCCCCCTTTCCTAGCTATTCAGGAAAGGTATGCTATAAAGGTTTATTCTTTTCCTGTTGTGTTGACCTAGCTCAGGACAGCGTAATTCTCTGACTATGAACAGCAGTTAAAACTTATAATTAATTTTTACAAACTCCTGGACAAGCAGCTTATTCAAAGTCACTGGGACTGTTCAAACCATTTGGAAAAAATAATGGCAGAGCATGACCTTTCTTTCTTTAATATGACGTTAATGCCATCAGACCGCACACTCAGAGGAAAAACACTTGATGCTCTCAAAGCATGACCCAGGAAAACATAGGGAGAGTCCAATGAAAGCTGGTGGAATCATCGCTGGGAAGACAGATCGGTTTAGTCCCCTAAAGGCAAAATACAACAACATTTATTCAAACAAGACTTTGATCTTTTCAGCTGAAGTCTTGCAAGTCTTCGATTTTTTTTGCACGAGTATCAGAATGTTTTCATTAAAGCCTGGTTCCTTGAGCTTGGAAAATACTTAGTACTTTCCACCTTATGAAGAACAGTGAATACTGGAATTGCATCTGTTTGCACTTAAGTCGCATCCAGCCAAAATCCAGGAATTCTGCATAGTCAATTTATCTTTCACTTCTATTATTATTTCTTTAATTGTAGCTAGCTTTTCTCAGTAAGTGTACCACATATCCATACTGAAAATATTAATTAATGATGAATATTTATGGCCTGAATTAATTAGCTAAGGGTTTTCTTAAGTAACCATAGGGAGAAAAAAAAAGTATCTTCTAAAGTATATGAGCAATACTACATTACTACATGAAATGCAAAGAGAAGCATAATTAGAACTGAGAAAACTGCTCTGCATGGAAAAGAGAAGCCAGCCTGAACTTTTTTCAAACATGATCTACTCACAAATGTCTGACTAGTATTCACTTACCGTGGTCCTCTGTGGCCACCTTGGCAAAAGGCAGAAATAACGTGCATCAAAGAAAATCACCTCACTTAAGTCCTTCATCCAACTTTACATCTGTAATCTGTGTTGCTTTTTCTCTTTGCTGTTATTCCATGCCTGTAGACAGGAACACATGACCATTCTTGAATACAAAGGGAGTCGCAGGTGAATGTCAAAGGGAGGAAAGGGGCCAGCAACTAGCTTAAAAAGGTATAATCTAACATGTAAGGGTTTTCATCAAGTCTCAAAGAAAAAGCAGACAGCTCTCAGAACTGAAATACAACAAAAGGAAAGATACTTCTTTATGGGGTAACACTGGTAAAGAAAGTGTAAAGAAAGATCATTAATCAAATATGCACCAACTGGGCAAAAATCTCCTTCTAATTATAATGGAGTTTGAGGAGAAAACATGAAGAGGAAAAAAGTCAAGCTCAAATGCAGAAATGTTTATGAACACGAGCGTTTGTAATAGCCAATTTCCATCAATTCCATCCATCCCATTCTTCCTCACTATCCACCACATCATCTTGGGATTCAAGAGTAACTTGTACCATTCTGTCATGGGTAAAATGCAGGTGTGCCTTGTGGCCTGTAGTAAGAATATAGCAAACTCTACTACAGGGTTGAGATGCATTATTCCTGCAGGTCACTGCTGTGAAATGGAAAAGAGTTGGGAAATTATTATAATAATTCCAGAATATTTGGAATAGCAGAATATCCAGCTGAGGACAGGTCATAGTGCATTGGAAAGTTTACAGTTTCTGACATAACCTTCCAATGAAGAAGTAAAAGGTGATATTTCCTAGTGCACACACCTTATAGATGCTTGCCCTGATGCACTCTGGCCTCTAAGCATAACCACCAAAACAAATCTTATCTAGATACATGCACAAGGAAATGGCAGAACAGAAAGAAATCCTATTAGCATTCCTCACCATGCTAGTTTGCAAGTATTGAAACGATGAGCTTGAAACATACACAATATTTCATCGGCAAGGCTCCAAGTAAATTAATTGATAAAATACTTTCTTTTCTAAGTAATCTAAATCTCAGTGTGCAGAAGTCTTCCTTTTATTATCCTTGCAGCATCCTTACTTGCAGTTTTCCTTGGGCCTCTGAGCAGGAATCAGCCTGTGCAGTGACAGAGATTACTGAATTCTCAAGGACAGACCATTCTCCCAGATTAAACAATATTCACTCTCTGTCAAAAGCTTAGCTTCAAAACTGCCAAAGCATGAGGAGAACGAGATGCTGCTTAGACCTTTCTGTGCATGACAGGATAAAATGCAAGACTTCTCTGCCTAAAGGAATCCAGATAATGAAATAATCTTTAATCTTTGTCCCTTCAAGGCACTCTCAACACCTGTTATCCTTGATACTGTCACGGGCAAAAAAGTGTGAGAATTCATCTCAAGGCTGGTAATTATTTCAGCTAATTATTCATTTGGATGTGGGGAGATTACCAATGCTCCGTCAGGTGCAACGCTGGCCACTTTTATTCTAGCTGATGTTTCACAAAGCAAGGAAGTTGCTGTTCTCCCATTCTCCAGCTTGGCAAAAAGATGAACTCCCATGCTATTTACAATTTGTATTACAATGAAACAGCCTGGCCACATAGTTAAAATCAAATCCTTGGCAATTCATTTTACAGCTGAACGTTACCGACTTCATTCAATCTGATTACATTCAGCAACACCTCAGTGTCCAGTATTTTTCTGGATCAGCATTTTCCCAATGTACCTATTCCCAACCTTCCAGAATCGCCTTTATGTCTACAAATATGAACCAGATGTCTAAGTAATGTGCTTTATTTTATCATTTCTCTTTCTACATCACTGGTGGGTGCAGATCACAAGTGCTTATTGGTGATGAACAGACAGTAAATAAATACTCCATGGATTCAGGCTTTTTGGTGCAACTCTGCTAAGGCATGAAAATGTGGGAAGTTCAATTTTATGAGCACAAAGATCCCAAGACAGTGCCTTTCTTCCTATCTTCAAAACTTTCTCAGACAAAAATTCCTTTCTAGGCCTTTCTTTAGACAGCATGCTAAAACCAGTCTGAGTTGTTTCTGTGGTCTGATGATGAGCTCAGACTGCTTCTCTACTACTAGCTGTGTCTTTATTAAGTGCTTTACCTCTTTCCACCCAGGCAAATACCAAGCAAATGTTTCTCAGCCTTCAGCCAGAGCAAAAGCATATAGCTATGTTTTAGCGTGGAGAGTGTTCGTCTCAGCTACTAATTTCTAATTTGCAACCGTCCAGATGAATTGGGAGTTGTTATACACACACCCAACTAAAGGTCAGTGTAGCCACAGAAGGATTTATGGAGAATGCTGCTCACATTTCTGAGAGGTGATGCTTGCTACCGATCTCTAGGGAAAGCTTTGCTTTTCCAAATATTGAAATTCTAGTGGATACAATACTGAAACCAGACTCTGAAGTGACTGCCTATATAAGAGAAAGACCACAAGTTTCCCCATTTGACAGATTCTGTTGGAAAACAGAGTCAGTAAACATTTAACAGGTGTTGTTGGAAAAAATCACAGATCCATTCAATACAATTGCAGTGGAAGAGGACCCTTTTCCCTCACATCATTGCCACAAAACAAGGAGTCTTCTTTTTCTCTCACGTCTGTGCCAGAGAGGGACGGTGAAATCTCCAGCTGTAGAGATATTCAACACCAGACTTGACAAGGCCATGAGCAAACCTGATCAAGCTCTGAAATCAACCCTGCTTCTAAAGATTCCTCTCAACACAAATTAATCTGCAGTCTTTTGCTTTTATTGGAGGTATTGGAATTAAGGGAGGTGCACCAGTCTTTTCTTGAGGCCTGGGTATAAATGAGCCTGTCAGCTGAAGGTCACTTGCAAGCCTCTTCCACCCCCCAGCTCTAACTGCCTGGGGTACAGGTGGACTGGAGCAGAAATCCCACAGTCCAGCAAGGTAACTACTCAACAACCAGCTACAATCCGATCAGCACACAGCTAGCATGCAATGGAAGAAGAGCAGGAACAACAGTGGTCCTGCTCAGCTTGAGTTTCTGTACAAACAGAAGCACAGTCCTTCAGCACTGCCTTTTCTCCATAGGAGGCCATGCTTTTTCAAATCCGTATAGCCCAAAGAGAAATAAAGGTATAGCATATTACCCACTTCTGAGAGAAATCTCCTTAAAGATTTTTTTCAAAATAACCAAAATATTCTTGACTTTGAAAGAAAACCTTGGAAATAGCAGAAAACAGATTTAAGTTTAATCTGTCTTTAGTTTTCTAAGTGTTAAATTACATAAAAACACAGTACCATAAAACAATCATTTTAATGCACAGTATAGCAAATTGCTTTGATTTTCCTTTTTAATAATCGTCACTCAAAGACTGCTTCAGGTTCTTAAATAATTGGGAAGACAACCCTAGCCCCTCAGAATCCAGTGGTCATTAGCAGATAAAGATCCTAAAGAGCTGCACTGCTCCAAGCAGCAGAGTGGTTTTATATTCTTAAAGAGGCAATTAATAATTCTGTATTGTTTTTTTCTCCTCAGTTTGTGAATTTTCTGTGCTGTGTAGAGGGCATTATTTATGGTCTAGTTTGCTATCAAGGAGGATTCTTTGCTGGCTGACAGATTTCTTCTGACATGTCTCATACAGAAGGTTGTACACTTTGGGAAAGAGAAAAGTAGCAAATAGTCTGTAGACTCTAATTCTCTTCCCCCTGAAAAAAGGGTCCTTTGAGAGTCACTGCTCAGAAGCACATTCCCTGGTCTCAAGCATCAGTACTACATTCTCTAGAGCACTTAGTTTTGCTTGGAAGATAAGTGTATGAGGGCTTTATGGTACATTTAGGCAATTAATCATACATATATCACCACATGTTTTTTCAGCACAGAATATATTAAAAAAATCTCTCTGCCCTTCCCACTCTTCCAGCCAAGGCTCTCAGACCACCATAAGAATTCCTATTCTTTCCTGCTTACTTTCTACTGTATAGATTCACTGCCATTTGATCCTCCAGTTATTTAATCCATTATACCAAACACATTCATCTCACTGCTTCTAATCTTTCTCATTTGTTCCTCACGTATTGAGAAAGCAAGCCGGAGTGAGTTGTAGCTACTGGCATCAATATCTGATCCTTTCCTCAGGCAATTCTCTCTGACCTCCTAGCACTAGGAGTATTCCTTGTGACCCTAGATCTCTTCCTTTATTCATTCTCCTTATTCTGGTCTTTTTTCTACTCATCTGTGCCCTGAAAAAGCATGATGGCATGTACAAAGGACAGGCCTATTCATTCCTCGCCAGGAAGTCTTCTCTCTCCTTTTCTGATATCCCAACTATAAATACCATAAACTTTCTGTTCCAGTGCCCTACTCTCTGTTCATTTCAATTCTTTCTAACCAGTTGGGAAGATTTTCTAGAATCCAGTCTCTCAACAAGAAGTCTAGTCTGCCTTTTCTCTGTATCTCACCCCAGAAATTGTTTCTTTTGTCTTCTTCACCTATCAAAGGTTAGGTTGGCGTCCTGTGCTGAAGCACTTCAACATTGTAGTTCAGATGGAAATACCCCAGTTTTCAAATTAATGTTCTTCAGTTACCAATTACATATGGTGTCTGAGGTCATATTATATCAGTTCTGTGACTGCATGGTCATAGCTTCATATACATTACAAAGAAGGTGTCAAGCACAGTATCAACAGTTGATGAGCCAGATATGGAAAAAGCATATGGCACAACTGAAGGCATTCTTCTGTCTATTAAAATTTGGCATGTGTGTATACGTGAGCACTTTTTCCTTAATTTGCTGAATAAACATATGAAATTCTGCCTTATTTTTCTGTATAAGAAAAAAAAGTAAAGGGACAAATCAAAATGCTCATTCTAGGTTACTACCTGATCTCAAATGAAGACTGTAATAGTCTACCTGCTAAAAATGTTCCTTGTGCTATACGTTCAAAACCATGAGGCATCACAGAACTGCTTTACTGGCTTCTAAATGATTAATGTAGCAGAAAAGAATATCAGATCACTGTTGATCATATGAGATCATGTTTAAACATGAAAGATATTTACAAGCTCTGGTATTTACTTTTACCATTGAAGAAATTATATGGCATGTAAAAAAGTCCCAATCCTAGTCCCATGGTATTACCTATAATATGCAGGCACACAACCCCACTCCTTTACATTTATATTACACTCCTTTATATACATTTTCTATGTATCTAAATCAACTGATTGCATGTATTAGATGCCACCTGCAATCAGTTGATTTAGATACACAGAAAAAACTGCAGCAATATTGCCCGAATATTAACAACAACAACCAAACAAATATTAACAACAAAGTCAAACCAAAACAAAAAAGCAGCCATTCTCCATTTCTTAGCCTAGTGACTACATGTTCCTTTTTAAGCTACGGTGCTCCTTCTCGGAGGCACTCTGCATCCTTTAACATTGGTTGAATATACCCCTCAGGATGTTACCTGTAGATCTTATGGAAAAACTTCTTTTTTCTTTCCAGAACTCTCTTCTTGGTTCAGCTTTTCATTGCAGAGTCTTGGCAAATTTCAACTGCAGTTCAACAAAGTGGGCAAATGAGAAAAGTCTTGAGGTTTAAATACAAGAACAGTTTTCACCTTCCTGCTTAGGACTTAAAATTGATGATTCCATTCCCATTGGTTTAAGCCTATAACTCAAACTAAAATCCCAAGCGAGGCAACAGTCCAAGTAGCCTCATTCTGTCAGGTAAGGAGTCAAAAATCACTGGGTTGAAAGAAAGGTTTGAGGGGGAAAAGAAAAAAAAAGAAAAAAAAAACTTAGAAAAGAACCGAAGAGCTCTCTGATATGCAGTAAGGAACTGTGAGGAAGAGCAGCAGTTTAAAGTTCTCCTGGCAATGTAAGAGGCATCCTCAGAATTAGGTGAATTTTCAAACAGGTAAAAATGATGTTTTCAACCCATTTTTTTCACGGAATCACATTTTGACTCATAAAAAACTCTCAAAATCTTGCCCTTAATCAGAACATATTTTCTTATTACTTTATTACAGTTAAATTGGCAGATAAGCTGGCAGGTGATTTCCTATGTGTTATTAGCACTGCTAACAGCAATAAGAAGGTGACAGCCCTTATTTCTCTTTTTCTGCATGGTGTCAGCAATTCTTGTTGCCCTTGCTACTTTATAAAACAAAACAAAAAACAAAAACAGAAACAAAGCAAAACAAATCCACAGAAACAGTATGAAAGCACAAGACTCCAAAAAGTCAATGACACTTCCCCAAAAGGCCTCTCTTTTGGAAACTGATCCCAGCAACCCAAGTTACAGGCAACTGTAAACTACCAACAGCCACAGAGCACAAGAACACAAGGAGCACAACCACCACCATAATCTCACTGCTTAAAAAGCAAAGTTCCAGCCATAACTCCAAAGTTCCATTCATAACTCCACAGAAATGATTTAAGCAACAGATTTTGTACTTTCCTCCGTATACAAGTTCTCACAGAGACACAGAAGATTCGTTGTGATGATTTCAAAATTGTTTCCCATAACAAGTATAGGAAGATTGACTTAAACAAGTATTTTCACAAATTTTATATAGCTTTTTCATTCAAACTGTCCAATTTCGTTAAACCAAATTTTAGCTTGCTGAACTGTGATACCTTCTTTGTTTTCCTGCATCTATATGGTCTTTCTGTTCCTGGATAATATGTATTTGTTTTCATCACCATCTTCCCCTTAAATACCTTTCTATAAATGACCAAAATTAATGAGCTGTTGTTTAACAATGAGATCATCTGTATGCCTTTGCCACCTTTCACAGAATTACCTGAACATGTAGGCAGTTCTAAGACCATAATTATAAAATAGCAACAGTAAAAGAGGCAGTATCTTACTTGACTGTATTAATTAGACTAATACTATTACCTAATTTACTAATATTTTGAAGCCAAAGTTTGCTGTTAGCAACTACCAAATTTACAATCTAAAAGCAAACTGGCCATTTACAAAAATCTTTAAGTTTTATACATTTATAATCCAGAATACTGAAAACCTCATGCACCCAGCTTGTTAACATAATACAGTGATATTACAGATTGAAAATACTTGGACAGCTTGAAAGTCTCTTCTTCCAGTGTAATGGCTTGGTGCATAAAAATGAATATTTTTCTAAAGCATGATCCCTCAGCTCCTCACTGAAGATTTCAGCTCATTTTACAACACATGATGAAGCATCTTTCCTGCTATAATGTGACAATGGCACTACTGAGCACAACAATTTGAGTCTGAATATGCCACTGCAAGACAGAAAAAATCTGAAGAGGCAATTCCACCCAGAACTATACAGCGAATGCATAAGAAAGAGGAAGACAAATGATTAAAGATGCATTAGCACAGTCTGAAAAACAATGCTCTCGACAAAAGAACCCTTGGTATGTCTGGTAAAAGGGGAACAGCACAGAGATTAGCTGAACGAGATGGACGAAGAATGTGAGAGATTCTGACAGAGTCACTTTTAAATACTTGAAATGTAAATGTCTCTGTTCAGACAAAAGTCAATTTTAAAACAATCTCTCTATAAAATAAATCACTTCTGAAGAGGTTTCGTACATCTCAGAAAAAAAACAAAAACTTTTCCTAATTAACCAGCTTAAGTATTAAATCAGCAAATGGAGTAACCAAAAGTGCATCAATTATAACCCTGATGTTTTTATTTCAGGTAAATTAACATACAACACATTGAACATCCCCACCACGCTGTTGTTCCCCCCCCCCCCCCCCAACAAACTCTCCAAGTTTGGAGCAGTTTTGTAACCTGTGCTGAAGATATTCCTTGCCTCATGCCACCTCCCAGCACGCACTGCATCTGGGCCCCACTCCAGTTCAGGAAGTGCACAGAAATCAGCAGTTAGTGAGAGTGATTCAACCCAGGTCACCCCCTAGGAATCAATGCCTTCAGAGGGAAGCATCTGTTCAGACCAATACGGACCTATCTTGGCCTTACAAGGTGCCTTTGTACAGACTGCCCCAAAGAACACGAGAGATAGATCTATATTTGATAAACTCCGTAAATTTTTTTTTTCCGTTCTCATGTCCACCATTTTCCAAAAATAAACACCACATTGCATCCCCACTGCTAAACAAACTAAACCATTTGCTGTACAGCCAAACTGCAGGGAGAACCTGTTTGTGGCCTTGTAAGAGAACCAGTCCTCTAACCTCGATTTGTACACTTGACAGGAGGTAACCTGTATACTGGCTCCTAGCACACCTGGTAGCAGCGTTACTACTGTTTGACAGCCTTCAAGCACAAAAAAGACAGGGATCTCCTGGAAAGAGTCCAGCAGAGGGCCACAAAGATGATACAGGGCCTGGAGCATCTCCCCTGTGAGGAAAGGCTGAGAGACCTGGGGCTGTTCAGCCTTAAGAAAAGAAGACAGAGGGGATCTTACTAATGTTTATAAATGCCTTAAGTGCAGGAGACAAAGGGATATGGCCAACCTCTTTTCAATGGTCTGTGGGGACAGGACAAGGGGCCATGGCCACAAAAAGGAGCCCAGTAAGTTCCTCCCCAACACACGAAAGAGCTTCTTCATGGTGAGGGTGATGGAGCACTGGGACAGGCTGCCCAGGGAGGTTGTGGAGTCTCCTTCTCTGGAGATTTTCAAGGCCTGTCTGGACGCCTACCTGGGCAACCTGCTCTAAGGAACCTGCTTTGGCAGAAGGGCTGGACCCGATGACCTCTGGAGGTCCCTTCCAACCCCTACAATTCTGTGATTCATTTAAGTCTCTGGAATACCTTATGGACTGCTAAACCAAGTTATCTATTTCCTTCAAAATCTCAAAATGAAATTAAGAATTTTTAGAGACTCAAACTGTAAAAGATAACTGCTTTAATAACATTCTACTGGGTTTCTATAAAGATCTAAGATACAAAGTTTTGATGAGAAGCAGACGTTTTAAATCTGGTTTGAGGTTTGCACATTGCCCACATTAACACATCATTTGCCTCTGCAAGGTATATGGACCCTTTAGAATGGTACAAAGCAGTCATATACATGAAAGAGGGTGATCATTTTATTTTAAACAGAATCCATTAGTATTCTTTCAGCTTCTGTAAACCTGAAAATCATTATTGCCACTCCACATTTGTACTGTGCATTGGACATGGCCACCAAGAGTACCTCCCTCAGTACAGGGACACAGAGCCGTGCAGATTCCCAGCCTGATTCATTAGTGAACTCTGCATCACTTACTTGTGTTTTCTACAGAATTAGCTTGCAAAAAGTGTGGGAGATTTCAGAAGTGATGAAACACCGTAACCATCCTGCTGCTGCTGCAGCGTATGAATGTCTGGCACCCTGGTGTTTCTCACAGGGATGCATAGCCCAGAGAAGGCAATCTGAACTGATCAAGATATTCCTGAGGGAACTCTTCATTAAATCCTAGCCATTTATAACTCTAACTCATTACAAGAAATAATTACCATAGCAACCACTGCACACCATGCTTTTGCTAGTAGGAACAACTGTGTGTCTTCTTGGGGAGGAAGTAGGAGGGAAACAAGTCAAACCAAAAACTTCTATGGAGGTTCAGCATAGTCAGTCTTAATTAGATTATGTTTTCCTGCCTTTTATTTTAGTTTAATCAAAAGGACGTGTTTTCTATACTATGTATGCTGTTTCAAACAAGCAGCAAACATTTCAGAATTTAAGTACAACAAAGCATATCAACATTTCACAAGGCTTTATACCAAAGCCCTTTGGTGCTTTGACTTAAGACATCACTTCACGTACCCCACTCTGAAGGCCTCACTTCTGATTTCACTTAGGACATAAAGGCAAGCTAGGCTGCTGGCTTATGACTTGGGGAACCTGATTTTTGGTTCTTTATTATTTTTTCCTCTGTGTCAGAGCTCCTACATGACTCCCATTTTAACCTAAAAGCTCAAAAGACATTTAGGTACCTGAGAGGACCCAATCAGAGAAAATGTAACACAACTTCTCATCCATAACAACAGAAATAGCACTGCCTTAACTGCTTTTCTGCAAACACACTACAGTCTGTGACGTGCTTAGATGCTCAGAGCAGAGGAATCAAACAACACCATGGTAGATAGTAAGTCAGAAGAGTTGTGCAAAATGAAGACCAGAGGGAGTTCAGATACAGGTCTGACATCTTCAATCATGTGAGAAACAGAAGAAGAGAAACTGGTAACAGCTCTGTTGCCTTCAGCTCCCTTAGGCATCACCTCCCAAGACAGATGCCTTTTTGCTCCTATGGATCTCACTAGGAGTTTTGTCATTACCTCCAAATACGCTCAAATTGGTGTTTTCACTGGCCAGGGTTTCAAAGGCTGCAGGACAAAGCGTTGAAGGCCAAATTCTAATACTTTGCAAGATATCCCAAAAGTGTTCAAAGAAACTTAGACAATTCTAGAAAGCCAGTCAAGTATCTACCTGCTGCTTTCAGTGCCTGGTTATTTCAAAATTGGTTGCTGTTAAGAGACCAGCAACAAGACCCAGGACTTGTGAGGACAGTGCTGATCACCTGCACAGGGAGTGGAACCGCTCAG